GATTAGGAAACTTCATGATTCCCTTCTAATCAAATCAGCCTCTTTTCCTAAATAAGCATTCTTAATTCCCTCCCAATTTTGATCTTCTATGGTAAGTAATTAGTCCCCTTTAAGCCCCTCTCTCTCCTTGCCCACCGTTCACACTAGTGGAGCCCACAGGCTCAGCCGGTCCATCATTATTGTAGCTCCCTTCGTGATTGTGGGTTTAGTGCTCTTTTACGAGTGACTGCTTCTTCAATGGCCAATTTTCTCTTATCTTTTTTTGGGCTTATATTACTTGAAGACATTTACAAGGAGTTTTTTTGGCTTGGTACAAATTATTCTTAGGTGTGCAAATCATTCTTTTCCCTCAAAATTTCTACTCATTGATCAAATATGAGGAATTGTGGGAGGGTTTATCTCATTATTCACGCATGAGGCTTGCTTCATGGCAACATCTTCCCTTCTTCCTCTTACTCTCCTTTCTCTCTCATTTTTCTTTTCATTTTTGTTTAGTTTTTTGTCAAATTTGTTGCATGGCTTATTTTTTTGCATGAAATTCCAATAGGTTGTGCGCCTTTTGTGATCGTTAATTTTCTTGTCATTAATTTAACATATACCAAACCAAAGTGTTTTCACTTGAATTTGATTTTGTCCTTTTTTTAGTTTTCATAGGAAGTTGTAAATAGTTATTTAAGAATTAATAGCCTTTTCTTCTTGCAAAAGTGAATGGCTGTAGCATCGATTTATCTCACCTAAAGTTGCACTACATATTAAACTTAAGACTTTAATATGGCCTACATCATGCATTTTATTCATCGTTAAGGGGAGTGAGGAGAGGGGAGAGATTTTTAATGTGATTTTTGTTAATGAATCGAGAAAAGGAATGTGATGGTAGTGGGAATGTATAAAAGCAAATGGGTATGTGGTGAGAGTCAGGGGGTCATTTTATCTCTGAATCATCCTTTTTCAATTAATTTTCAAACTTTCTGATTAATGTTCCATCTGCTTAGGAATTATCTATCATGGTAAGATGCATTGCAAGTATGCTACATTTTGGCAATCTGGGGTATCCAGATTTTATGTTGAGTGTTTGTGTTATTCTTCTATTGAAAAGAGATCCTTCACATCAAATTCAACACTATCACCACATGTATTCCAATAAGCTATTTATTAAATCTGGTTTTTCTTATTATTTGGTCATAGTTCCTGATGTGAAACATATGCATGGAACAAGAATTGCAATTAAGATATTAATAGAAGTGATAAACGTTGCTTTACTACCAACAAACTCTTAGTTTGCTCAAATAAAAGTTTAAGAAGATGACATGAGTGATTAAACAATAGCAATAGGTTACAATTTGAGATTAATAGGACTTGCAAAATAACAGCCAATGACTAATAGATAATTCAAATAGCAAATGTAACAAAAGGCACAAGTTTAAAATCTAGATGGTTCACCTTAAGATCCTTCACTCAATCTCTCGAAAGTGGAGGTTAGCGGAGGAGGATTGCAAGCACGCTTAAAGATGTCACTATCACACAAGTGATGCCGAGAGGACTAGTCGCCGGGGAAGAAGCCGGATTTGGGGAAGATGGTGGACGTCCGTTGATGATCTAATCGTCAGCCAGAAGTTGCTCGTCGATGACGTCCACGAGGGTGGGAAGAATACGGTTCAAGTAATCCTCAACGGTGTGATCGAAGCCGAACCCAACATCAAAGAATGACGAACGGACGATGTCGATGTCTCCTTGAAAGTCATATGCAAATCCGTGATCACGCTCCGGATCCGCCATGCATTCTTGCCGGAAGGTGAAGGAGCACCGATGGAAAGAAGAGGTAGAGGAGGTGGCGGTTGGAGGGGGAATTAGGTTTGAAGGAGCTTGGGTTAAGTTAAGGTGGAGGTGTTCTAATCTCAAAATCTAAAAATAATTTCAGGTTTTGAGTAAAAATGGAGGGAACTAATTTGAAATTTGGATTTAAAATTAATTGCAATTAAGAGCCTTGAATGAGCATTAATGGGGGGGGGTCAAGCATGGGGCCGGCAGCATGGAGAGAGAGGGAGAGGAGTTTAAGCCAAACCTGTAATTAATTTCAGGATTTGAGTAGATTTGGAGTGAAATTAATTTAAATTTCAAATTAATTATAACAAATGCATTGATTGGGGATTAATGGGGGAAAAGCCATACATGTGGCTAGCGGCATGTTGGGGGGAGAGGGAGAGGGGTGAGGATTTAAAAGCTTCTTTAGTTAGCTTTCAAAATAAAGAAAAGGAAAATTAAATCCGATTCAATTTAAAATTAAATTGAATGAGATTTAAAACTTTCCAAATATGGCTTTGACAAATTAGGAAAGAATTTGAAATTTCAAATTGAGGAGTTTTCTTCCTAAATCAAGGGAGGTTATTTAGGTAGGTGATGATGATGACATTAACCATCATTAATGGTGGATGGGCACTAGGGTCGGCGGCATGGTGGTGGGGTTTGGGAGAATTCAGTTGGGGAAGGATGAGGTGAAGCCAGTGGTGGAGCTTGAGGAGGGATTGGATGGTGGAGGTTAAGCACTTGGTGGTGCAGTAAGAGGGGTGGTGGATGGAGAGGGGGAGAAAGGAGATGAAAGAAAAACAAATAAGATAAAAGTAAACTAACGAACTCACGAAGAGATCGTAAGAACCGTGAATCTTGGACTCTTCCAAAGATTGACGGGTATTGCAAATCACCCTCCTTGGGCTTCTCCTCTCATGAACTCACTAAGAGATCAAACAAGAACAAACTCTTTTTTTTTCATTCAATAATTCATCATCTAGCATGGGGCCGGCGGCATGGAGAGAGAGGGAGAGGAGTTTAAGCCAAACCTGAAATTAATTTCAGGATTTGAGTAGATTTGGAGTGAAATTAATTTGAAATTTGATTTCAAATTAATTATAACAAATGCATTGATTGGGGATTAATGGGGGAAAAGCCTTACATGTGGCTAGCGGCATGTTGGGGGGAGAGGGAGAGGGGTGAGGATTTAAAAGCTTCTTTAGTTAGCTTTCAAAATAAAGAAAAGGAAAATTAAATCCGATTCAATTTAAAATTAAATTGAATGAGATTTAAAACTTTCCAAATATGGCTTTGACAAATTAGGAAAGAATTTGAAATTTCAAAATTTGAATTTCAAATTGAGTAGTTCTCTTCCTAAATCAAGGGATGTTATTTAGGTAGGTGATGATGATGACATTAACCATCATTAATGGTGGATGGGCACTAGGGCCGGCGGCATGGTGGTGGGGTTTGGGAGAATTCAGTTGGGGAAGGATGAGGTGAAGCCGGTGGTGGAGCTTGAGGAGGGATTGGATGGTGGAGGTTAAGCACTTGGTGGTGGAGTAAGAGGGGTGGTGGATGGAGAGGGGGAGAAAGGAGAAGAAAGAAAAACAAATAAGATAAAAGTAAACTAACGAACTCACAAAGAGATCGTAAGAACCGCGAATCTTGGACTCTTCCAAAGATTGGCGGGTATTGCAAATCACCCTCCTCGGGCTTCTCCACTCATGAACTCACTAAGAGATCAACATGAACTCACTAAGAGATCAACAAGAATTTTTTTTTCATTCAATAATTCATCATCTAGTACAATGCATGAAGCCTTCTATAAATAGGCCAAAATGAAACAAAAACTAAAAGACATAAATGCCCTCGGGGCTACAATATCCAATGACCATCCATAAGGGTAAAACAGTAAAAACTGAAAAATAAAAGAAACTACTATATAAAATGACTCAAAATATAAACTCGTGATCGTGGCCATCGATCTACGGTGTCTCCGATGGTACACGTGTCGAAATCACTGACGATGTCCTCATCAGTTCCCCAACTAGATCATCAAACCTGCACCCTCATTGGATTAACTGAATATTTTGTATGTGCATGCTTAGGATTAGTACTCGCATCAAGAAGGACAACGAGATTTGCATCGGTTGTAAGGAAGAAGAATTTGAGGTTGTAGCGCTAAGCTTCCATGCGCACAGTAATATTCTTTTGAAAACCATTATGGAAAAACTATGGAGAGGATCTTTGTTATTCCTTGAAAAATTATGCATTTGTTTTTTACGGGGTTTTGGGAAAAATGCAAAATTAGAATTAGAGAACGTAAAACTGTTTCCTTGAAAGATGAAAATTTTGAAAACCTTCTCAAATTCCACCTCACTTCGAACTTCTCCAATCCATGAACTGATGAATAGCTTGATGTCTTTCTCCGCTCACTACTATTCCAGCGATTTCTAAGTTAGAAAAAAACTAAGAGAATAACTCAGTGAGCCTTTTATATTTTGTACAAGAAAACTCTCCAAGAGAGTTCCTTTTTCTAGAAAACATCCCTCCACTAGTTTGAGGCATAGTATTTAGTTTATGGGAACAGGATTACTATTAAGTTAATGGCAATCTTGTTTTGTACTATGTCATAACAGGCTCCAGCGACTTTTACTATTCTTATCTTCGCTGTCAAAAGAGAGCAAAGCCAAAAAAAACAATAGTAGTATTTTTTAGATTTTGTTTTAAAAGGTAAGGTCGTGTATGAAGAATCATGGCAGCATCCGTATAACCATCATCCTTGTGCATCATATTTAAGTCTAACAAAATCCTGAAACCTTATTTTTTATATTTGGTTTTTTTAACCATTGCTCGGTTGAAACGAGACTAAAATCTCACTTAGGCTTCATTTGGGACAGCTATCTTACTGCTTCTTAATGCAGCTTCTTAAAATTTTTATACTAAAAAGCTGCTTTAAGAAACAGTAAAAAAGCCGTCCCAAATGAAACCTTAATTTGATCTTGAAGTAGAAAATCAGGCCACTAATCCTTTTTCTGGAATTCAATTATTGGTTTCTTAAAAATGTTCTGACCAGAAATTATTCCTCTTGTAACTTGCCTCTAGGATGAATACCATTTAGATATAGATTTCTCAAAGTGCTTTTTTGAATGCCTTGATTTTAGCCTCTCTGTTGAGAGGGTAATTTATGGAAATTCATTGTCTTCTTGCAGCTCAAAATACATGGGAGCTGCCCTGGAGAACTGAGTGATGTTGTAAAGCAGCTTGAGACTGCAACCGGTTCAGCAGCAGTCGGCCAGATTGGTCGGACTGTGATTCTCTACAGGCCTAGTCTCACAAAGATTAAAAACAAAAATTCTGATACAAGAAGAGAACAACAGCAGACAAAGTCAGTTAAATCAGTCACTAAGTTAAATGTTCCCAAGAAGACACAAGCAACAAGAACCTTCAGTAGATCCTAACAATAGAGTTCAAGTACCAAAGAAGGATTCTACATGGTAATGCCTCTGCGAAAATTTTGTGGCCTCATCAACTGAACTATAAAAACTTCGTAAGCTCTTATATTTTTGACAGGCTTTTGTCGTGTAGCATGGAACATTCTTGGTTGTAAAAAATGCAGGTTAAGTGTTTGCCAAGCGAAGTAGTTGGTGTGGCTGTGCTTCCTGCTGTCATTTTCTTATTTCTTCCAATGTTTTGTTAGTTAAAATCCGTGTATGCTTGGTGTTATTGTTAGATTACCCCATTAGATCTCTTTAATTTAACTCATGAAAATCTTTGTTTAATTAACGATAAGGCTCTAGTAAGCCAATTTGCTATAAAATGGCTCAGCTATGTGCTATCGAACTTCGACCAATTAGGAAAGTACTAGTTGGAGAGTCACTTGCCTAAGAATTCTTGATATTTTAAGATTTTGTATGGTTGGCTTATGTTTTCTAACAATCACTTTTAGAAGAAAGTAAGCATCAATGATATTCTTACTAAAACAAACTAGGAGTTTAACTGGGTGTTCGAGTCAGTTTTTTTGTTACCAGAAAGTAGAACCCTTTTGTTATGTGTGGAATCTGATTTTGTTGATCAATCGGGTTGTTCTGTTGCCTCGGAGTTCAAGTTTGTCATGCTTGTTGGGCGGTGCGGGGGGTTTACCCCTTGCTTGTGTTTGGGTGCTTTGCACCTAAAAAATTTTAAGCACCCAATTTTTTTTTCTAACGCCTCGGCACCCCGGTGATGCATACCCGAGCGCCCCAACACTGAATGACATAGAGTGGAGCACCACAACAGTATAGATACGACACTACAACTGATCAAGATAGATGTTCAAGTACCGCAGCGCTCCAAGATAGACTAAACTTTTTTTTTTTTCTCGTTTTTTTGAAAGGTTTTGCCCCTTTGAGGTTATTTACTTGACTTTCTCTTGTATTTTGAGTATGCTAGATATTGAGAACGGTGCATGTGAGAAGAGAAGCAAGGAGAGTGAGAGAGAAGTGAGATCTGTACTTATTTCTCCCAATTTTCATAGTTGATTTTTTGATGTGGTGTGGCTCCGTGATTTTTTTCCCTATTTTTGGATTTTTCACATCAATCTTGGTGTATTTTATTTTTCCGCTGCTTTTATTTTCTTGTTTATTTCATCATTGTGGTGTTTACTCCTCATCCCCAACACCTCTTACTTCCATTGTACTCTTGACTTTCAAATTTGGTATGAACCAAACAGAATCAATTATTTTGGTCTGATTCCCATCATTTCTAGGTCTTACAATTAACTGATTTTTGTTTCAAATTATAGCATACTTCTTCCGAAACATATTCCACACAGTCACCTTGATACTTTATTTTATTTTATTTCCACTATCATCCAATTTTGGCATCATTTGTTTTATATCTCTAGCTGGTTTTGTTCATATAGATTGAAAAAGAAAATAATACCAATTTGCAGGCATTGGTCATAAAACTTTGGAAATGTACGTTTCTTTATAGCAATGGGCCAATTTTATGCAATTAGTTTAATTCTTACAGGTCAAAGTTGATTCTCAATTTAAAATCAAAGCGTCTGTCTTTTATCAGATGTTCAGTATGAAACACGTAGACCAATATGTTGACTAGTATCACTAAATTATTTTATTTAGCGTGAATCTCGTCTTAATACCGGGGATGAATAAATTTTTCTCCTGGAAGCTTGTGGAAAATATCTTCCATTCTTGTGATGGAAATCAATTGGAATAGTATTGTTATTGTCTTTGGCTATGCTTATTCTTATTTGGACATATTGGATGCATGGTGCCTGAATGGACCCGGCTTATCTGAAATTGACATACTTTCATGGGTTTTTAATCTATTATTATTCTAGGATCTTAATCAAAAGTTAATTAGGGCATCTCCAACCGAAAAATCCACTTTCCACTACAAAATACAATAAAACTTCAAAATACAGTAATTTGTCTCCAATCGAACTCTATTTCGCCTGCTTCTTCATCGCGCTGCCAAAGGTAACCATTTTTCTCCTCTTCCGCGCGCTTTTTCAGCAAATCCCGAACACAAAAAAATAGCGTGTGTGAACCGTTCGACGCCAATATTTGTGACGCATTGTTCACTCCAGGTGAATAACGGGCAAAAATACGTTCTGATTGGATCATTTGGCATACGGCAATCGCAGATGGTCTTATATGACTATTATTCAAGATTTTTGAAGCTTGGTCTTTACAGAACACTCATTTTTTTCTTTTAAAAGTTATTACCTGTTTACATGGATTTAACTCCACATCGAGTTATTATAAGTACTTAAAATTTTTGTGCATTAATCTCCCAATTGCATGCGTTTTCTGTGCTTTTTGTGAATTTTTATGCAAATTTTCCTTTATTTATTCTTAATAATCATGCACATGGAGCAGTTGTAGCCGGCCTAGCTGCAGCTTTGTAATGAGCATCAAATTTAATAGCGAGGACCTCGTCCTTGGAATCAAAAGGTAGAAAGCTTTTTTGTTCCTTGTGCAAATAAGAATTGCCTGTTGCTTTGGCAAGTTGCCTTCCTTTTTTTATGTACATATTTACTATCTTTCTCCTTTCTTAATGCCAATTGCCTAATCATGATAACCCCAGGCCATGATATTGCCATTCTGTCACTTCAGTTTTATCGAAGGCTTATTGTGTTTATTATTATTATTATTTGATGATTAAACTTATCTGCTTGACTTATGTAAGGTGTCTAGAGCTTACTGTTTTCTTCGAGAAATTATCTTGTGCGGAGACCAGACATAGAATGTTGTCCGGAGACCAATCAGAATGTATCAGGTCAGCAGTACCGAGCTGCGATACTGAGTGAAATGTGACATATTTTGGTTGGTCTCCGGACGGTATTCTGCGCTCGCACAGAAGAGTTAATCGCTTTCTTCAGCACCTATGGAACCTGGAAGCCTTCTTTTCTTTATTTTTTATTTTCAACAGAGTGAAAAGAAAATTTCCCTTCTAAATTTTTGGTTGAGTAAGGAGGTGGCTGGATTTGGTTAACAAACAAGGACAGGTCTTTGTTGCATAAAAATTAAATAGATGGCTTTCTTTGTAGACGATAGAGAGATGCTTGATATATTCTTTTATGATGATAGGTTCCTCTTCTTGTCATGATGGAAAGGTGTTGGTTAGGAGAAATTATGTAAACTAAAACTTAGCTAATGTGCACATAATATTTTATATTGTCCTCAGCATTTATTAAAAGGAGTTAAGGGTGTTGGCTCAACTGCTCATGTGATATATTTAATGGTTTTTAGAATATAGGTCTCGAATTTGTGATATATTATATATATAGTATTAATCTTAATATAAATTCATGATAGCTCTTGGATTTGCATTGAGATTTGTTCAGCTCTCCATATGTAAGACAACTTTTTTTATTTCCGCAATTTTAAGGTTTTATTTGGGACAGTTTTTTCATTGTTTTTCAAAGCAATTTTCTGATACAAATTTTATAGTTTAGGAAATTTTTGCACTAAAAAGCAAAAAGAAAGCTGTCCCAAATGAAGTCTAAGGCTTCGTTTGAGATGACTTTCTACTGCTTCTTAAAACAGTTTTTTAGTACAAAAATTAAAATTAAAATTTTTGTACGAGAAAGCTGTTTTAAGAATCATTAAAAAAATTGTTTCAAAAGAAGCCTTAATCAATAAATGAAATTGTGGCAATTTTTAACTGATTTTATGTCAGTTTTATCTATATTTATGCGTGAAGTGAATGTCATAATCTCACCCACTTTCACCTGCAGTATCTCGAATAAGTTGAACTGATTGGGCAAAAATGTAAATCAGAAGTGGGAAATGAACTAAATCCCACATTGGTTTCTGCTTTCTTCGCAAATTCGTAGCAAATTGGTGTAGCTCGAAGTGTGCTTCGTATCTAAAGCATTACTTGTTGAATATTTTTTAAAGCATTTTTTTTTTCTTGCTCGGCACTTTTAAAGTGTTTATTAAGATTTATTGAGCATTTAATTAAGATTTATTTAACATTTGTTTGGGAGAATTTTTTTGCTGCTTTGTATTTCAAATAATTATCATAATTTTGTTTGACCATTATTTTCTTACTGTTTTTTTTACCGTTTTTATTTTTTATTTTTGATGAAAAGCTTTTTTTGTTGGTAATTTTACAGCAATTTGACAATCAATTTTATAAAACGTTGCAACAATTTTAAATGAATTAACAAATTCTTAATTTAAAAAGTTTGAATGAAATTTCAATTTAAAAATATTCAAAGTAAAAAATATGGTGTATTATGTCCAGATGCGGATCAAGAAATTGTTTTCATAGGGGCATTGAAAAGAAAATTATTTGAATTATTATAATTTTAATCCTTTTGAAATTTTCTTGCTACATATATAAATTAGCCTTTAATGCAATAAATTTCTGATTTCTTCATTAATTGCTGCGATATAAATGTAAAATATAAGTTTCACATAATTTATAAAAAGTAATAATTTTGAGATTTCCTTTATAATTAGCTCCAAATGTTAGAAAGGAAAGAATGAGATACTTGTGATAAAACTAATTTTAGAAGATTTCTAGGAGAGGCCTTAATCGTTGGGAATTGGGATTTCTATATGGAAGTATTTATTGTTTATTAAAAAAATAAAAAAAGTAAGTGAGAAATTTCTAAGAGTATTGCAACACTAGGATGAGTGTTGCAATGTTAAACTCTATAACTGAATAAACAAAATTTGTAAGTCCTTGAGAGTATTATGATGTTGTCCTCTGTTTATTGGGAGCGTTGCGGTATAGCGACATTAAGGTCTCAGCTTATAAAAAATTTTCATAAATGAAATTCCCTTGCGAGCATGGCGGTGTTGTGGAAGATAGTGTTGATATGCTAGGTCAATTTTTATGCTTTTATATAAATATCTAATAGAATAACCTAGGACTCATACCACCATTCAAATTGCTAGAAACATAGGGGGAGTAGTTGGAGAGGAGAAAAGAGAAAATAAAAAGGAAGAGATAAAAATAAAGCCAGGAAGCCAGGTTTTGGAGGCTAAGGCATTGGACTCATCTACCGAGCTAGTTGAAGAAATTGTTCATCTTAAGTTATGCTTTTGTTACCTTTAGGTTTCAATTTGTTAATATAGGTAAAAGTTATGGGAACTTATTTGATTTAGATAACTTTAAGAAACTTTCAACCGTACAATTTTTTGTATGTCATAGAATAATTAATTTTGAGCATTTTGATAGAAAATCTCAAGTATCATGGGGTGACTTTAAATGTGTGATTTTTTATATTATTACTAACTGTGTTCGTTTTAACAGAAAGTGCTATAGAGCGATAAAAACCTTGAAATAATGTTAT